GATGCTCCTCAGCACCCAGGCGGACTGCTGGAGTCACAAAGGGGAGGCAGAGGGGTGAGTCAGAGAGAGTGGGCACCAGGAACCAATTCCCTCAAATGGGGAGTGAAAGGATTTAGGGACGCAGGACTTTCACATTAAAGGGTCAGGAAATTCCGTACGTCAGTATTTAATACACATTTAAGAAGCAGGGGCAAATCCTAAATTCACTCCACCTGAGCGGTAGGGATTAGCCACCATCTATTTTAAGCTAGAATGTGGAGCAGATGATGCACAGGACCAGCCGTCCCGTCGACACTGCACAACTGTGATTATAGGAGTGTGGGGCCGCTGTGTCAGGAGCCTCCTTCTGCCCTTTTTATTCATATCTCACACGGCACAGCTGCACTATAGTTTAATTTATCTTAATTTTCATCCTATTTCTATATATCCATTGGTGTCTTTCGTGTAGTTTTCTATATCTTTTAAATGTGTCCTTTTTGCTTTTATGTCTAAAAGAGCCCTCGGAGATGTTTTTGAAAGGCGCTGCACAGAAAATCTCACCTTGCCTGGACGGGGAAATGATTTCAAAGCTCCAGAGGATGAATAAACACTCCAGTCGGCAATCACAGACCATTCGTTCTCAGAGGGTTCCAGCTGAGTGCATAAGACACATTTGTAGAAAAAAAACATGGTGGGACGCGAAGGATTGTTTTTGTGTTCTAAGACATCCTCTGTGATTTCAGGTTCAAGAAAGTTGTTCCAGAGAAGCAATTCTTCAAAAGAACAGAATGCCGCTATGGCAAATGTCAGTAATGGGATAATGCAGAATGGTGGAGCACAAAGTGGTAGAAAAGAATGAGAAAGACAGCAGAAGTGACGGAGTAATGGGCAGCTGTGAGACTTTATTAACACGAGACACCATTAGTTACTGATCATACCGAACCAGATATAACAATAACCCTCCTTTAATACTTTTTTTCTTTCACATTAAACCGCAGGGTGGTTGTGGAGAGGCTCATTGTACAGTCGTGCTGGTTAACAAAACCAAATCAAACAGTACGTATCTACAGGTGGTATCAAAGTACGTCGCTTTTTTTTCAGATGGGGATGGCGGATCGTTGCCTCCTTTTGCCGTTAAGGACCAAATAAAACACCTTCATCTCTTGAATGAATGCTTTAGGAACAGAACATCTCCCTCTGCGGCGCGTACACCAGGAACCATGTTTCCTCAGGGGGACTTTTGCTTACATGTGTTACTAACACGCACACGCACGGACACACGCACACATGCATGCACATGAGGATGAATGCCATGAATGCCGATTTACACATGCAGGAAGACATTCAGTCACCCGCATAGTCTTGTTTTTCTAACACAAAAAACAAGCAATATGATTGGTTTTATTCCCTAGAATGTTCCCATCCACTGTTCTCATCCACCCACTCATATATGCGGAAACCCAACTTCATGCCCCCGCCCACGATCCCCCCCCCCCACTCACTCCCCTCACCATCCCCGTTCAAGCAAACAAACACACACACGCATGAACACAACATGCAGACACAAACAGTGACAGAATGTGGCTCCGAAACCAGACATTGCAGCAGCGTTGCAGCGTTATTCAAAATTTGCATGCCGGCGGACTTCCACCGGCTCTCAGAGGCGTGCACACACACACACACACACACACACACACACACACACACACACACACGCGCACACACACATATATGCAAAACGCATGTCTAATCTACACAAAACACAAGCAAACACACACACAGAGCAAAATTGCAACACAGGAGGGACAAAACACCCTGAAAATAGATTCCCATCTCACTTGATTGTGTGAGTGCGTTATACCACACATCTAACTCACACGGGATCACTACTCCAGCTGGAGAGCTCTCACGCAAATCACCACGCTCAAGCTTTTCCCATCATTCATTGGGCTTCCAGTTAGCTGTAGTCACCAGCCGACCAAACAGCAGCAGCAGCAGCAGCAGCAGCAGACGGGGGTGAGAGAGACTCACCTCGGCTCCCCCGCGGTTCCTTTACAAGCTGGGGTGAACATCTCTCAGCCAGTGGACGGCGCAGCATTAGCAGGAGACCAGCTGCCAGAGCAGGAGAGGTGGAGCAAATGTGTGTGAGGGAGAAGGAGAGGAGGGAGAGAGAGAGAGGGAGAGAGGAGGTGGGGGAGAGAGAGAGCTATTGAGAGAGCACATAGGGGGAGGGTACAGGGATAAAGCGCTGGGTAGGACAGAATTATGAGATGGGAGACAGCAGGAAAATGTGTGTGTGTGTGTGTGTGTGAGAATGAGAGATGGTGTTACCATGGTGAAGGCTACGCCTTAAATCCAAATCTCTTTCAGACCAAGTGAGGGAAGGAAAGCTGGAGAGAGAGTCGGGCATGAATAATGTGTCAGAGGCAGAAGAGACAGACTAACAGATCAAAGAAGATATTCCTGTAGAAACGGGTGTTAATAATGAGGAGGGAGGGGGGGGGGGGGGGGGGTTCAGAGGCCGCGACCCGGGGCGAGATGAGCTCTGGCCTCATCGTTGGCGCTGACAGCGGCAGCCTCGTCGCATTAGGGTCAGAGACACGGTTTCATAGCTGAAAATAAATACAACAGCTACATTTGAGAATCTAATTGGAGGTTCAACCCCCTCAAAGAAACACTCAGATAGATTCATTCGTGATTAAATGTGTTCAAATGTGAAATATATTGTAATCAAATCACAGGGATTCCACTAGAACAAGAGGTCGTTTGTTTGGTTCTTTTTCGCTAAATCAAAAAAGTGGTTTAAAATGCTCAAAATCTCCAGCTGTGGATTACAACTCACACGCTGCGGTGAACTATCTTATGCGACTTTCATGCTTCTCATGATTCGTGATTACGCTCTAACGCGTTGCATAAAGATTACCGCATACAGGAAGTGAGCTCGGTCATCGCGGAGCAGAGCGACCGTTACCATGAACAAAACGATGCTCTCACCTCACAGTGGACTGAAAGCTTTCCCACTAAAGGTCAATGATTTTGATGTTTGACTCACATCTCAACTCCCAGAGAAACACACACACACACACACACACAATGACAGCAAACAGCAGGGGGTCATTGGTGTCCATTTTTCAATGAAGCAGATCCCCATTGAAGTACAAAGGCTTTCAGATCAATCGCGCACGGCGTGTGATCGATGTGTGGCTCGTGGCCCATGAGCTCCACCAGCGGCCCGTGAAGAAGAAAAAACACTCTAAACTCTGTGTTATTGATCTGGTTTCACGTTGGTCTAACAACGCACATGGCACTCTTTCAGAGGGGGGAAATTAAAGGAGGGCAGGAAAGACGGCCCGGTTTAATTAAATCTCAACCCCCAACCACACACACACACACACACACACACACACACACACACACACACACACAGATCAGAACCCCCTTTCATCCGCTGTTTGTTTGGAGAAAGTGTCTTCTTTTCCTCTAATCTCCAGGCAGTTTCATTGCTCGGGATCCTTTGTCAATTCTAATTGGTCCTGCTGGTTGGGGTCGCCTAGGAAACCAGTTCGGGAAGTGTTAGTTGGAGGTCTGCCAAAGGTCCTCATAAGATCGGTTGCACGAGCTGCTGGCGTACGCACACAAGGAATCAAGAATATTTATAGTTACAGCTATTTATAGTCTCCCGCGTCAGAAACACGCCCCGACATGTGAACTTCTAATTGAGCTACAATTAAATGTGACAATGCAACACGGCGCGCTGGGTCAAACCTTTACGGAGCGGCTTGACCTACATCCAGATAATCCACCACCTGAATAGCTAAGAGGGGGATTTCTATGAATTCTATGATCTAAATTGGAGGGAGCCTGGGTTGACGGTGGGCGTCAGTGTTGCATGCTGGGACTGCTACAGTCACAAGCCCCCCCACACCCCTCCAGGGTGAAATCTGTCTCTGTGAGCTTCCGTCACGACGAGTCTGAGCTTTTGTCAGCGTGTGAGCTGATGGCGCACGCCGTATGCTGGAACAGGACGGCGCTTAAGGCTCCTGTTTTATCTGCAAGCGTTTAACTCAGCCTTCCTCTGTGTAGAGAAACAAGCAACAGTCATTATCTATGTAAAAAAACAGCACGTCATTAAATGTTTGTCCATTATCTGTTATGAGTACAGCGCACCAGGAGGGATTAAAGAGAGGAAGTTGGACTTATGAGGGATTTTCAAAAGGATTGATCAAAGTTTAATTAGCCGAGGCCAAAATATCTAGACTGAAGTTTCCAAATACTCTACATTTGCCATAATGTATATTTTTTTGCGCCTGGCAAATGCTGAGCCGCGATATGACATCACTGCGACGTCCCCGGTGTGGTCTTTGTCAGAAGCTGCTGATCGCTCCTCACGTGTAATATTCTGATTATTATCATCAGAAATACTTTTCACACAGGCTCCGCGGACCGATGTGGGGCTGTTTGTTCAACGGAAGACAGAATCCTGCAGTAAAAGTGAGAGTTCTACTGGCCGCTCCACATTCGTGGGTCGTGACCTTTTGTTGGCGGGAACAGCCTCCAGCTGGACGAGCTATGGAGGCAAGTATGGTGCTTTTTCCTCCACGACATTAAGTAAAGGCTAAAAGAAAATGTCATTTATCCAATGGGGGAAATTCTCAAGGTACCACAGTACGTAAACAAGCTTCAACATTCAATAATTTCCCTAATGGCTAGAATCCATTAATAAAATATACATATATTATCCTTAAATGGGACATGCAATACTCTTACTTTTGATGTACTTTTTTTTCATGACTTTTACTTGTATTTCTACACTTTAGTACATTTACTCAGCAACAAGATACTTCTTACACATCAAAAGTTTTCAGTCTCAATAGTTTTCGTATTATGACGTGTCAAATTATTTCTTACCATCAATGAGCTTATAAACACCTGTATCGTGTTAACACATCTCTTATTAAATCCTCACACAAAACAATTCTCAAGCCAGGGCTTAACAAATCATTCACTACAAAACAAAACTATTCGTTCAAGGTAGATGGAAAGGTTTATTTTTGGTTTTCTCAGACAAAGCTCAGCTTGATGTACCACAAAGGCCTGTTAAAACCTAAGATATGAAACACATTATATCATTAAGAAACTCTACTGAAACCGCATGTTCCGTTCAGATACCCTCTAATTGTATTTTATAAAGCGAAGACTGAATTTTGTCCCCTATAACTGTCATTACAGGCGCAATAGTGAAGGATCTTTGACGGCAGGTACAGACAGCAGGAAGGATTACATGAAGCTGAAGCTCTTTCAGTGCATGTGTGCATATATCTGTTTATGCTGGAAATCATACACATTCAAACCACCAGGTGGCAGGAAAAGACCAAGTGAGGCAGTATTTAGAGCAGCATTACTGAGATGAAGGATGAGAGAAGGTTGGAGCAGTGATTGATTGGTCCATTAAAAAATATTCCTAATATAAATCAAACATTTGTGTACCAAGGGCCTAAACAAGCTGCGCACCTCACGACAACCTTTAAAAATGCATTGTTTGTTAGGTAAAGGTGGCAGGAGGGAGTCACGTTGAACCAATCCTGCAGGAGAAGCTCCTCCAATGAACACCTCAGAGCCCCACGGCGTCTTTCTGCACGTTGCAACCCAACAGAGCATTTCCTGCTTCCACACACTCCGTCACCAATGATGCTGCAGAAAATAAAACACAGAACACGTCATCAGCAGACTGTGGATAAGCAGTGACTTTTAAAAACATCAGATCAATACTTCATATTTTTCTTTTTACCTTTCTGAGCTCGCAGCCAGGACACAGCCTTCATAGCCAGAAGCTCCCACTCCTCCTGAGCATCCATCTTGAAACCATGAAGCCAGATCAGAGCCAGAATGGTGGCCCACACGTCCTGCTTGACCTAATACAACAAAACAAACAATGCAAAATGGAATAGAACCCAACGGGGAAAACAAAGTTAAAGAGAACTGAGGATTCAGCACCAAGGGCAACATTGAACAGTCCCATTATTAACCAATGTTATTGTCATTGACAGCAACCCACCGATGCAGGCTTGGGCTTCTCCACCTCCTCGCTGGTCTTCCCCAGTACAGCAGCCAGATGTGGATCCAGCAACCAGCAGCCAGACGCCTTCTGCAGGGAGACCAGCTGCAGCAAAGGGTCTCTGGGGGGCTGTTTGGGCCGACAGCTTTCTGAGGAAGAGATCAGAGTGAAAATATAAACATCCCTCTGGCTCATTGTACTGAGAGTGATCAATTTGGTTTAGTAATTTCTATTGTTCTCTTCCTATTTGATACTGATGAAGTATATTATTAGTATATATATATATATATATATATATATATATATATATATTTTAGAGGAACGACATATGAGGGAATTATTCAAAAAAATAAAAATGTGACATGCAAAGATGGAAAACACTGACCCAATAATAATAATGTTCTGCTAAGTATCTAGATGTTTTGAATGATAAAAAGTATGGCTGTCAAACTAAACGTGTTTTAAGAATTCACATTATTAATATTATTTAATATTGATCAAGATGATCAAATGTGTGTAGTTTTGTGTTTAAAATAACATTAACAATTAAACAACAGTGTCTGAAATACACGTTTTCTGAAGTGAATACTCATTACTTGTAAGATTTAGTCTAATAGCCACTAATGGAGATTAGTTAATTTCAAAATGTGTGATTAATTAATTTCTCTTAATCTTATTGACAGCCCGAATAAAAAGTTTAAATTTAAAGCCAGAAAATCACCGAGCGTATTACAATTCACCCAGAGGGGAACATGAGTGAAACAAAAGACGACAGTCAGCAGGCGTGTGCTAAATAACGCTACTTACCAAGCGTGTCACTTTGGTCCATCACTTAAAGAAAAAAAGAGATGTTGAACGTTATACAACAGCAACAACAGTAATAACAAGGAAGGAACTCAAATTGTACGATTGGGACATTCTCAATGTGTTAACCACTTCAGGAGGAACCAGATTACAGAGGAAAGAAAATGTAAATCATCCACAGCGACACTGGTACAGTGTCATGAGAACTCCACCAAACAGAAGTACGTGCCGCGTGCTCCGTATGTATCCATGTACATGTATGAAGGATTTAGAGCTGGACGGTATACCGGTATATGGTTTTCATACGGTACGAATTCCTCACGCTCCGTTCATACCGGTGTAACGCGATGTTGCTCCTAAGCGGGCGGCAAAATTATTTTAGACACGTAACAACAACGCGCCAAGCGGCCGGAGCTACTTGTGTTATGTGTGTTGAGATTGAGTCCTGGTTATAACTTTAAAACAACAATGAATAACCGACAACAAACAGGGTAAAACACCACGACACAACGGCTTGTGACACATAAACAACAAACAATGTAACACTAATAATTGTACATTTATAAGAAATTACCCCGCCGAACTGCATGCTGGGTACAGCTCACAACAACAGGTAACGTTAACTCTGTTGGTTACGTGACAACACGGAAAGAGCATAAAGGAGGGAGACCCGAGATGCACCAACACAACTTGTGCCCAAGAGAGGAGCTGTGTCTGTTTGAAGGGTTTTGGAAAATCTGACATAAGTTACATCAGAAAACGATGTATTGCAAAGTCTCCCGAGTCTCTGGTGGCAACACTAGCAGCCACAACAAGCTAACACGCTAAATAGCTAACGAGCTAACAAGCTAACTCCCCCGGCCAGTTTCTAGCGCAAACAGCTGTTTACAGCCACAACAAGCTAACACGCTAACAAGCTAACTCGTCGGCCAGTTGTGGGCAATTTGGTCAGCGGGCGGCCCGGTCTTTTTCGGGGACAATTAATTAATGTGTTTACTTGAAAAAGCAATACCGTGATATACCGGGACACCTCAGAATCTTTTTTAATACCGTGATATGGATTTCTGACCATACCGTGCGGCCCTTTAAGGATTCAGTACATTTAAAATGATTGCACACATGCCACAGTGTAGCCACACGCAGCGCAGCCTTCATCGCATGCTGCACTAGACAATCACGTCTTTCTTATGTCAATTACCCCCAAAGAGGGGCCAAAATAACTCCTACTGTTCATACATTCATTCATTATCACATTGGAGCTGCAAGAAGCAAGCAGAGAAATTGTGCCACAGAAAAGTGTTGTCTTCTATTGAAATTAATTTGAGTATATTTATATTTATATATATATATATATATATATATATATATATATATTCATACATATACAATCAGAAGGTAGGAATTAATAACAAGAAGAAGTTTAAATGAATCAAAATATTTCAAAAGTGTAGAAATGTGTGGAGAAATACACAGGTATGCGTTTAACTCCGATCCAGATTTGTTGTACTTCATCATGGAACATTAAGACAGGTTTTACTTACTATCCATCGAACAGGACGTTTGACCAAAGGCAAGCCCAATCACTTTGGGATGAAAAAAAGAGATTGATGTAAAGATTTATACAAGGAAGGATAATAACAAAGAAACTAAAATTGTAAAATTGGGACATTCTCAATGTGTTAACCACTTCTGGAGAAAGCAGAAGACAAAGAAAAGACCATTTAAATCACCAACAGCGACACTGGTGCAGCTAGTGGATGGAACTTAATCATTAAATGCCTTTGGCACAATCTAATGTGGTAATTTACAAATATGATTTACTTTAATGTGCAGATACCAGCCGTTGTCTATCTTTGTATCTCTTGTCTGAATTACAGTCCATGGTCACGTAAAAAAAGTCTTTGGCAATTTTTGGTTTAATAACAAAATTCCCTGAAAGTGATTGTTTATATTTATCACCCAGTAAACACTGTTATTGTGACACCAGTATGATGTGGTCCAGGAAAATAGTATTTACAGCCAGCACTTTTCCTTGAGCCAACCAGACAGTGTCATTGCCGAGGCAGGTGACTTTATTCTTCCCTCACAGAGTAACTTTGAGCCGCCACCTCCATTACTATTGCCTTAAAAGAGATGACACTCTCATCTCATTAACATTATTAATTAATATTTATATTACTCTCTGAGGTTAAAAAGATTAAGAGAAAGTGGTCAGGACGTTACAAGGGTAACATAAGTAATCTGCCGGATTAAACATTTAAGACGATGCAGTTTTGTTTACATCCATTTGGCGTACTTATAGAAATACACTTACTAGGAGACATCTGAGGAAGCTGCGCCATATCACAAGACATCACAGGCACTTTGAGATCATAAAAACACAGCGTGAGGTGAAGACATGAGCCATGCTAAGAACCAAACCAAAAATACAGACATAACTACTGGATCGGGACATTATGTGACTACCAAGAAGTTCAAATAGTTTAAAATATCTCAAAAGTTTAGAATAGTGTGTAGAAATACACAAGTATGCGTTTCTCTACAATTCAGATTTATTGAGGTTTACTTACATTAGGACAGGTTTTACTTACTTCTCATCGAACAGAATGCCATAGGAGCCATGCAGGCCATCATCACTTTGAGATAAAAAAAGAAAGAAATTGATGTTGAGATTTGAGCCGAGACAATAACGAAACAAACATTGTCTACATACATTTTCATTCATGGTCAGCTGTATTTCTGTTATATTTCTATAGAAATGACTCACTGGGTGTTGGAATCGTTCTGCGCAGCAGAGGTCCTTGAATAGCTTCGCTGTTGGATTTGTTGACGGCAATGAAGGCGGTGAAGACACTGCTCACTCCTGATTGGACGCTGAGCTCCACCACCTTCTTCTTCCCTCCTGCGTCTTCCTGTCCTCCAGGCTCTCTCACCTCCATCTCCAGAGAGCGGATCACGGTCCGAGCGGCCAACCTGTGGACCGTTAGTCTGCAGAGACAAAACACAGATTTACAAAATTATAATACACATACTAATTATTTCTTTTAGGGTTCATGTACATCCAGGACTGAAAAGAACAAAGAGATTCTACAGGGATTCTTGACTAAATGATTACATTCGAGGCCGCTCTGCACATTGTGTGCGTCAGCCACTGAGCAGACCTTTAATGCATCAGTGCAATACTCTCTTAACGGACAGTTCCTTGGTTCTCACTCCTCGCTAAAGTCAAAGAGCTCCTCCTTCCATGGTCCTTTGATTTGAACTCAATAATGAAAATGAACTCAACATTTCTAAGGACAGGACCCAATGCATAATTGTGCTGCTTACCCAGAGTCCTCTGCAGGTTTGAGACTGAAGTGGAGCTGGGTCTGAGAGGGATGACCTGCCAGGCTGTACGCCACCGTCACACAGCCCTCTGACGCCTCCGAACTCTGAGGAAACATCAGTGTCACAAACCATTTCTTCCATCATCGCTGACCTGACAAATCAAACGAGAGAGTAGTTCCAGTAGTTCCACTGATCCCTCATTGTCTGACCACTTCTGTGTTTTCTTTAATATTTCTTTCATTCCTGACACACAATCAAAATCAAATACTGTCAAAAAATGGTACATCAATGAACATACTAATGTACTCTTTAAAAATGTTATCTCCTCGTTACCACCTCTAATCCCATGTCATGCTGATAATCTTGTAAACAACTTTAATTCCAAAATTTTGAATGTTATAGATGACATTGCACCTGTTACGGTTAAAACCAGTTCTATTAAGCAAAAGGCACCCTGGAGAAAAGCTGCTGTTGTAACAGCCCAGAGAAGAGTGCAGGAAGGCTGAACGAATCTGGCGGAATACAAAACTTCACATTCACCATGACATCTATAAAGAGCGCCTCCGGGCCTACAATTTAGACTTAAAAAGTGCTAGGGAAACATTTTTCTCCAACATCATTAAAAACAACACTAATAAGGCAAAAACCCTATTTGAAACTGTTGACAGACTGACCAACCCCTCAACACAAATACCACCTGAACTCCATTCCACACAGAAATGCAATGAGTTTGCGTTCTTTTATGCTGATATAATTGAAGGCATCAGACGCGCCATTAATATCTCAAACAAAAATGTTGGATCACCACCCTATTTAGGCAAAAGTAACACAGCAATGATGACAAGCTTTACTGCCATAGACTCTCAAACTCTAGTGGAAACGGTGACAAATTTAAAACCCTCCACCTGCTGTCTTGATGCTCTACCTACCAACTTCTTTAAGAATGTTTTTGACTGCCTAGCAACAGACGTATTGCAAATAGTTAATAACTCTATTCAGACAGGCCATTTTCCAAAAGCTTTCAAAACTGCAGTTATTAAACCTCTCCTAAAAAAGCGGAGCCTAGATGCCTCTATTATCAACAACTACAGACCAATTTCAAATCTACCTTTCATAAGTAAAATAATTGAGAAAGTTGTCCTACAACAACTTAATCACTTCCTGGCTTCAACTGGCTGCCACGACAATTTCCAGTCAGGATTTCGACCTCTTCATAGAACCGAGACGGCCCTTATTAAAGTTGTAAATGACATCCGTCTTAACACAGACTCTGGCAAAACTTCAATATTAATGCTATTAGACCTCAGTGCTGTATTCGATACTGTCGACCACTCAATACTTTTGGACAGGTTGGAAAACTGGGTGGGGCACAGTCTTAAGCTGGTTCAGGTCATATGTACAAGACAGGAACTATTTTGTTTCCATTGGTGACTTCGTATCAGAAACAACCGACGTAACGTGTGGAGTCCCCCAAGGTTCGATCTTAGGGCCGACTTTATTCAACATCTACATGCTCCCACTAGGACAAATCATGCAAAAAGATTGACCACCATTGCTACGCTGATGACACCCAAATTTATGTAGCGCTATCACCAAACGACTATCGCCCCATATCTTCTGTGCCAGTGCATTGAGCAAATCAAAGACTGGATGTGTCAAAATTTCCTACAACTAAATGAAGACAAAACTGAGATCATTGTATTTGGTGCTAAAAAAGAAAGGTTTAAAGTAACCCAACACCTTCACTCTCTGTCCCTGAAAACATCAAATAAAGCCAGAAATCTGGGGGTTATTATGGATTCAGATTTACACTTCAAATCAAATCAGTAACAAAATCGGCCTACTACCACCTCAAAAATGTAGCACGACTTAGAGGGCTCATGTCAGCTCAAGACTTAGAAACACTTGAACATGCCTTTATAACTAGTAGGCTAGACTATTGTAATGGTCTCCTTGCAGGTCTTCCAAAAAAAACTGTCAGGCAGCTCCAGCTTGTTCAGAACGCTGCTGCTAGAGTTCTAACAAAGACCAAAAAATGTGAGCACATTACACCGATTCTTAAATCCTTACATTGGCTCCCAGTATGTCAGAGAATTAATTTCAAAATCACTGCTCACATATAAATCACTACATGGTTTAGGGCCAAAGTACATCACTGATATGCTTCCACTACATAAGCCTTCAAGATCACTAAGATCGTCTGACACCAATCTGTTAGTGATTCCCAGAGTAAATACAAATCATGGGAAAGCATCATTTAGTTACTACGCAACAAACAGCTGGAATAAACTTCCTGAAGATTTAAGACTTGCCCCAACTCTGACCACGTTTAAAACAAGACTGAAAACTTTTATGTTCAGCTTCGCCTTCTGCTAAATTTTACCTACATTGCACTTTTAAACTCTGCCTTTAATTAAATAATTTAAATAAGATTTTAATTTATAATTTTATTTGCTGTTTTTAATTGTCTTTTAATTCCTGCATTTTATTTCACTTTATTGTATGAAATGTTATGATGTGAAGCACTTTGAGTCTGCCTTGTGTATAAAAAGCGCTATACAAATAAAATTGCCTTGCCTTGCCTCAGATGGTGGCGCTCCTACCTGTCCAGTGAACTGGGCGTAAACCAGTGACCTTTGACCCTGGAAAAGTGCTGCGATCGGTGGAGAGAGAGCGGTGACAGAGACTCCGCTCGGCAGATCCCACTTGACTGAGACGTCCACCATGGCCGGTTGCAGAGCGAACCGCAGCGACTGCATCACCTGGTGAGTAAGAACCATTTAAGTAATCATGTTTTGGTGGTGATTTGATTTTCCATTGACATGAAGGCAGCGGTGTGTTACTTTGGGCTGCATCCTGTCGGCCCCTGTGATGAACTGAGCGTGGCCTCCTCCTTCTTTGGCCAACCCGTTGATGAGAGCAGAACTGGCCCCTTCCCCGATCCCAAAGGAGAAACACCTACAACACAGTGGGCTGGTTTTTACACACCCAGCACCTAAACATGGGACTTATTTTAGCAATTGTGTTGATCTTCTTGTTCTTTGACCTGTGGGAGGCTGAATTCTGCTTCACCAGATTTATGACTTCTTTTGTGTTCCCCACCTCTCCATCAGTAAAGACAAATAGCTGATGAGGAGAGTTCACACAAAGTTACACACAGCAACAATGGGAAAAACACACAGCATGCGTTGAGTCATCCAAACGTATTTCTCAAATAGACGTGTTTCATTGCTGTTTTAGTGTGTGTGTGTGTCACTTGTCGAGGTTGATTGGGAATGGAGGGCGTAAATGTGTTAAAGTGGTTTTCTATGGTAAATTCTTAAGAACAAGGTGCAGCAAGAATAAACGTGTTAAAAAAACAAACCGTAGCAGGTTCTGGCTAAACCGGATGATTCTCTGATGATCTACAAAGATACATTTACAACCTGTTCAACAAGTGTGTGTGTGTGTGTGTGTGTGTGTGTGTGTGTGTTACTTGTCGAGGTTGACTGGGAATGGAGGGCTGTCTGTAAATGTGTTTAAGTGGCTCAAGGATCTCAGTTCCTCCCAGATTAGCCTCCATCTCTTCCACTTTCTTCAGAGCCTCTTCCATGGTCTTCTGGTTGTAGTCTTCACTCTTACTGCAGCCAGAAACACACAAACAGCATACAGATGATCTACAACCCTTAAACATAAGCATGCCTTCATTATAGGATTGATTCATTATCAATTATTGGGGGAGGACATTTCAAAACTTTGACATTAACAATAGTCAGTGGTTACACCGTGGTGATTTAAGCAATAAGGTAGCTTAATAAGCAGCTAAAGTACTGCCTCAAGTACCTTGTTGCTTTTATAATACAGTTCTCAGCAAAATTAGAAATAGTACGTAAATAGCTGCCTTTCAGCACAAAATAGTTGTAGACACCAAACAGTGAGCCGCCTCTCTCTCCTCTGTCATCATCCGTCTGGACCTCTCTGCTGCATTTGACACAGTGAACCACCAGATCCTTATTTCCTCCCTTCAGGAACTTGGTGTCTCAGGCTCTGCTCTCTCCCTTCTCTCGTCCTACCTCGACGGCCGCACCTACCGGGTAACCTGGAGAGGATCTGTGTCGGAACCTTGTCCTCTTACTACGGGAGTTCCTCAGGGTTCCGTCCTGGGTCCCCTCCTCTTCTCGCTCTACACCAACTCTCTCTGAGCTGTCATTCGCTCGCATGGCTTCTCCTACCACAGCTATGCCGATGACACCCAACTAATTCTCTCCTTCCCTCCCTCAGACACCCAGGTGGCGGCACAGATCTCTGCCTGTGTGACTGACATCTCTCAGATGTCCGCCCACCACCGAAAATCAACCCCGACAAGACTGAACCACTTTAACCGAACCTCGGCGTGACACTCGACAGCCAACTCTCCCTGACTCCCAACATCACTGCGACGACAGGATCCTGTAGATACACGCTCTACAACATCAGGAGAATACGTCCTCTTCTCACTCAGAAGGCAGCGCAGGTACTGATTCAGGCTCTTGTCATCTGGCAGTATTGAATCATTCTGGGATGTTTGCTGAAACTGATTGTCTGTCCTTACCAACAAAAGAAAATCCACCAGCCACCACTGGTCATAAATCACACTTTTGTTGGACTAAGTGACTCACGGGAAGATGTGTTCAAAGCTGGATCCGAAACTGTAGATGTTGAAATAGCAGCCGAGCGGTAGGCTCTTCAACAGGAGCAGCAGAGTGTCCTTAAGGGAGGAGAATAAGATGAGGGTCACTTTGTGAGAGACAGACACTATAAATGTGTTCATGAGAGGAATAAGACATAATTAGTACCCTGGCATTCTTTATACGGTCTCCATGCATACTGCCAGATCGATCCAATAAGAAGACAAACTCTCCAGATGAAGCCACTGAAGACATCACAGCCTGAGGGAACTCTGGGTACAGGCTCAGCATCACTACTGAATCACCCATCAGAGAGCCTGAACACAGAGGAAATGATCATGCATCTGTCTTTTTATTACTCATCCCAACATATTAAAACTCCATACTACATGTATCAGTTTAAATGTAAACTCACCAGGCTGGGAAGAGGCCTGTCCTGCCTCCACCATCGCAGAGGGCTGGTGGGCGTCTTTGTAATAAATCAGCAGTTCAACATCTCTGTCAAACTTGTGTCCTGCAGCCAACTTGACCTGCAGTTCACCAGACAAACATCACAAGTCATTACCAATACATCTCTTCTTCTCCGTGATGGAAACATTCATCAGCAGCACTCTACCTACCGTGGCCTGGGTTTGCTCTGTGTTGAGGTACTGCAGAGGGTCCAGGGGAGAGCTGGACTCTACTTTGGAGACGGGACGAGGAGAGGACACTCGGGCAGAGAAAGACAGAGTGTAGGGCACTAGAGAGGCTGGAACAGAGGTCACCTGGACGTTGGACCCTTCACTACCAACGCTCCCTGTCAATGAGGTAAAAACGTTCAGATATGAAGCCCAAGACAACAAGAGGCCATTGACGTGTACAGGTGTTGTGCTCCAAGTTGACGCTTGAGGGCTCCTGAAGAAGCTGCTGGCTGCTTTTCCTACCCTGAGGTTGGTAGCGAGGGTTGAGCACAGCGGGCAGTAGGAACCTCAGCCCTTCATCGGCCTGCACAGCCAGCTCAGTGACGTACTCCAGCCTGATGGAGGCGCTCTCTCCTGGAGGCAGACTGCCCACACTCAGAGAGAATACATCTGGACTCTGCTCGCTCTCCTCCAACAGGAAGGCCTGCTGACCGGAGCTCAGAGCGTCGTCGTACTCCTCACGGGCCTGAAACACAGAAAGCACGAGTGAAACACTGGCTGCGTTTCACAGCTCCTTTGAGAGAAGGTCGTTGCTGTGCAGCTCACCCGCTGTTTCTCCTTCACCTCCGCCACAATCTCCGTCTGTCCAACAGTAGCGCTGAAATGACAGACGGCAGCATCTCCAGGCAGGGGGAAGACAAAGACAGCCTCCAGTGGTTTGTCTTCCTGGTTGTGGTAGTTCAGAGTGGAGACCACAGTAGCCACGTGGTCCTTCACCTCCAGCTCCACCTCCACGCTCTTCAGAGGAACTGAGCGAGCAGCAGATGGAAACACAGTGAACACAACATGCTTTCCTACGTTGTTGAGGTTTATTCTTTACTGAACTTTTTCATGTTTCCGCTGCATCAGAAGACCTGTAAAACCAAGAAGTGCATCCTGCCTCCAATAGTGTGCAAAGCAGGATGAAATTGGACAATAGAAGTACCTTTTATATTTGAAGTACAAAGAATGATGGAGGTTCGTACCTGGTTCCTTCTGAGAGGTTATTAGACCACAGCAGCTCACCATCATACCTGTGCAACAATCAAAGAGGACGTTTGAGGACTTCATGCTGCTGGGGTGGATGGTAACAACAGCTACTGGACATTCTGCAGCGAGCAAGGTACGCTTTTATAAAAACAACTAATCATCCATTATATATATTTGTATAGAATTCAAAAGTCTGGACACACATTCACTTGAAATAGAAGGTGTGTCTAAACTTTTGACTGGTAGGCTACTGTATGAATCCTACCAGAAGATTGAAGCTAAAAACACAATAAATAATATAAAGAATACATTTTGCAAATGTATTGCCAAAATAACAAACGTCAAAAACGGTAATTAATAACACAAACACACGTTTCCTCCCACGCTGCTCCTCTGTGCTGCGCCCTTCTTCGTTCATTCTGCGTCTTTATTGTTTAGCTGAGTTTTATTAGAAAAACCCGTCTACACTCTTTTTTTATACAATGGATCTGGATAACTGTTTGCTTAATGTTATTGAGAAATCTAAAAATAGATTTCCACGACGGGAAATGACCGAATACAACGATAACAATCCGGTGTTTATTTAAGGTATTTTATTCTTTCAATGTCTTTATAAAGCATCGCGGTATTCCAGTAAAGTTCTTTCAGAAATCCAAAACCAATGATACACAAACAGTATCCAGACTCAATTCGGATTGCGCAGTGTTGTAGTCAGCAGACTATTTATCTAAATAAACACACAGCAGACTAACTCTTACCCCTGAGGATGGATCTCCACGCGACAGTTTCAGAAGTTTCCTCTTGTAAATATCCGGAGACAACTTGCGAGGTTTCTAAAGCAGAACGATGTCAAGTGACAAACCACAAAGTTGAAAGTCACTTCCACCGGCTGCGCTGAAGCAGTGACGAGGGAGTGCCGACTGCAGTCGAGCCCGTCGAGCGCAGCAGCAACAACAGCCACGAGAACGCGCACGTTTACCGCGGAGCGCGTGCGAGAGAGCGTGAAGGAAACAACTTCAAAATAAGAGCCCAGTCAACGCGATAAGCCACGTCACATGGATTTAATCATAAAATAATATAATTATACGTTTAATAAAAAATTGAATCGAAGAACAGTGCACTTATCAAATTCAGAAACTTCAAGGTTGCATGACGAAATAGTGTTGATAATATATTTTGCTTTTCTGCCCTGTCTGTATTACATTTAACTGTTTTATGTCGAGGTTTCTAAAGCAGAACGATGTCAAGTGACAAACCACAAAGTTGAAAGTCACTTCCACCGGCTGCGCTGAAGCAGTGACGAGGGAGTGCCGACTGCAGTCGAGCCACAACAACAGCAGCAACAACAGCCACGAGAACGCGCACGTTTACCGCGGAGCGCGTGCGAGAGAGCGTGAAGGAAACGACTTCAAAATAAGAGCCCAGTCAACGCGATAAGCCACGTCACATAGATTTAATCATAAAATAATATAATTATACGTTTAATAAAAAATTGAATCGAAGAACAGTGCACTAATCAAATTCAGAAACTTCAAGGTTGCATGACGAAATAGTGTTGATAATATATTTTGCTTTTCTGCCCTGTCTGTATTACATTTAACTGTTTTATGTCAAATAATCAATAAAATCATTAGTTTAACAAAACAATCTACTTGAATAGCATTGTATTTACTTTGTGAAGAAAATAATTTCCTTTTCTAACTTCTCGCCTGCAACTTGCTGTTGAATTGGTTAAAATAAAAATGGATCTGGGGAGCTGTTTGCTTAATGTTATTGAGAAATCTAAAAATAGATTTCCACGACGGGAAATGACCGAATACAACGATAACAATCCGGTGTTTATTTAAGGTATTTTATTCTTTCAATGTCTTTATAAAGCATCGCGGTATTCCAGTAAAGTTCTTTCAGAAATCCAAAACCAATGATACACAAACAGTATCCAGACTCAATTCGGATTGCGCAGTGTTGTAGTCAGCAGACTATTTATCTAAATAAACACACAGCAGACTAACTCTTACCTCTGAGGATGGATCTCCACGTGACAAAGTTTCAGAAGTTTCCTCTTGTAAATATCCGGAGACAACTTGCGAGGTTTCTAAAGCAGAACGATGTCAAGTGACAAACCACAAAGTTGAAAGTCACTTCCACCGGCTGCGCTGAAGCAGTGACGAGGGAGTGCCGACTGCAGTCGAGCCACAACAACAGCAGCAACAACAGCCACGAGAACGCGCACGTTTACCGCTGAGGGCGTGCGAGAGAGCGTGAAGGAAACGACTTCAAAATAAGAGCCCAGTCAACGCGATAAGCCACGTCACATAGATTTAATCATAAAATAATACAATTATACGTTTAAGAAAATTTGAATTGAAGAACAGTGCACTAATCAAATTCAGAAACTTCAAGGTTACATGACGAAATAGTGTTGATAATATATTTTGCTTTTCTGCCCTGTCTGTATTACATTTAACTGTTTTATGTCGAGGTTTCTAAAGCAGAACGATGTCAAGTGACAAACCACAAAGTTGAAAGTCACTTCCACCGGCTGCGCTGAAGCAGTGACGAGGGAGTGCCGACTGCAGTCGAGCCACAACAACAGCAGCAACAACAGCCACGAGAACGCGCACGTTTACCGCGGAGCGCGTGCGAGAGAGCGTGAAGGAAACGACTTCAAAATAAGAGCCCAGTCAACGCAATAAGATACGTCACATGATTTAATCATAAAATAATACAATTATACGTTTAATAAAAAATTGAATTGAAGAACAGTGCACTAATCAAATTCAGAAACTTCAAGGTTACATGACGAAATAGTGTTGATAATATATTTTGCTTTTCTGCCCTGTCTGTATTACATTTAACTGTTTTATGTCAAATAATCAATCAAATCATTAGTTTAACAAAACAATCTACTTGAATAGCATTGTATTTACTTTGTGAAGAAAATAATTTCCTTTTCTAACTTCTCGCCTGCAACTTGCTGTTGAATTGGTTAAAATAAAAATGGATCTGGGGAACTAAGTGTAACCCTGGAACAATAGCTAAATAATTACCAGCAAATTCATTGATTCTCTGCACTGTTTTAAACAACCTTTATCTTTGGATGAAGTATGAACTACATTATTACATTATAGGTCAGTTAGCTGACGCTTTTATCCGAAGCGACTTACATTACATTTGTAACCCATGGCATTTTACATGTTTAACCAGGGAGCTATTAGGGGATAGGTGTCTTGCTCAGGGACACTTCGACCTGAGACATGGGGTAGCCGGGACTCGAACCACCAACCTCATGGTTCCCAGCGCGCCCTCTCTACACCTGCGCCACAACAACCCAAACAACTCACAGCCACACACCTGCAATTTGTTCACTGTATAAAATAACCAATTAGTGTTTGTAAAGTTTGTACTGCACAATGAATCAGAACGGTAAAGACTGAAAAAGCCACCAAAGAACATTGTTTTTCAAAATTGAGTTTAATTTAAAGTTGTGCTAGACACATGACATGAAATGGATTATTTGATTTGAAGTACACGATGGAGTGAATCTGCTTTGATGTACCAGAGGGGACCAATCCTGCAGGAGAAGCTCCTTCAATGAACACCTCAGAGCCCCACGGCGTCTTTCTGCACGTTGCAACCCAACAGAGCATTTCCTGCTTCCACACACTCCGTCACCAATGATGCTGCAGAAAAGAAAACACAGAACACGTCATCAGCAGACTGTGGATAAGGAGTCCTTGTTAAAAACAGAAAATCAATACTTCATTGTGATAAAGTGGGTGACAACTCACCTTTGTCCCCATGTTAGTCTGTGTTTTGGGTACTTACCATACTCTTGTTAAGGTTAACTGATTAGGTTTACTTGTCTTCTTTGTATATTTGTTTAATGGTACGTGAACCAGGAACCTTCTTTTTTACAAATATAAACCCTTATGATATCAGGACAAAGTCTTGCTTGGCTGCCTCCTACCAATTCCAGAAGTCACTCAGCTTTGGCATCCTGACATTCATTTAGTACTTTTTACCTGTCTGAGCTCGCAGCCAGGACACAGCCTTCATAGCCAGAAGCTCCCACTCCTCCTGAGCATCCATCTTGAAACCATGAAGCCAGATCAGAGCCAGAATGGTGGCCCACACGTCCTGCTTCACCTAATACAACAAAACAAACAATGCAAAATGGAATAGAACCCAACGGGGAAAACAAAGTTAAAGAGAACAGAGGATTCAGCACCAAGGGCAACATTGAACAGTCCCATTATTAACCAACGTTATTGTCATTGACAGCAACCCACCGATGCAGGCTTGGGCTTCTCCACCTCCTCGCTGGTCTTCCCCAGTGCAGCAGCCAGATGTGGATCCAGACACCAGCAGCCAGACGCCTTCTGCAGGGAGACCAGCTGCAGCAAAGGGTCTCTGGGGGGCTGTTTGGGCCGACAGCTTTCTGAGGAAGAGATCAGAGTGAAAATATAAAAATCCCTCTGGCTCATTGTACTGAGAGTGATCAATTTGGTTTAGTAATTTCTATTGTTCCTTTCCTATTTGATACTGATGTGTAGAAGGACGTATATATTAGAGGAATGACATATGAGGGAATTATTCAACTAAAATATGACATGCAAAGCTCTAAAACACTGACCCAATAATAATAATGTTATTTTATGGGATCTGTCATCATTACCTGCTAAGTATCTATAAACACAAAGTGCATATGAGGTTTGTTGGTTAATCAAAGTGTTTGATGAATAAAAGGTTTTGAATGATAAAAAGTAGGGCTGTCAACCTAAACGTGTTTCATTATTATTAAAATTGTTTTTTATTGTGTTTTATTATTATTAAAATTGTTAATATTATTTAATATTGATCAAGATGATCAAATGTGTGTAGTTTTGTGTTTAAAATAACATTAACAATTAAACAACAGTGTCTGAATACACGTTTTCTGAAGTGATTACTCATTACTTGTAAGATTTAGTCTAATAGCCACTAATGGAGATTAGTTAATTTCAAAATGTGTGATTAATTAGTTAATTTCTCTTAATCTTATTGACAGCCCGAATAAAAAGTTTAAATTTAAAGCCAGAAAATCACCGAGCGTATTACAATTCACCCAGAGGGGAACATGAGTGAAACAAAAGACGACAGTCAGCAGGCGTGTCCTAAATAACGCTACTTACCAAGCGTGTCACTTTGGTCCATCACTTAAAGAAAAAAAGAGATGTTGAACGTTATACAACAGCAACAACAGTAATAACAAGCAAGGAACTCAGATTGGGACATTCTCAATGTGTTAACCACTTCAGGAGGAACCAGATTGCAGAGGAAAGAAAATGTAAATCATCCACAGCGACACTGGTACAGTGTCATGAGAACTCCACCAAACAGAAGTACGTGCCGCGTGCTCCGTATCTATCCATGTACATGTATGAAGGATTTAAAACAACAATAAATAACCGACAACAAACAGGGTAAAACACCACGACACAACGGCTTGTGACACATAAACAATTTGTAACACTAATAATTGTACATTTAAAAGAAATTACAACGCCGAACTGCATGCTGGGTACAGCTCACAACAACAGGTAACGTTAACTCTGTTGGTTACGTGAAAACACGGAAAAGAGCATAAAGGAGGGAGACCCGAGATGCACCAACACAACTTGTGCCCAAGAGAGGAGCTGTGTCTGTTTGAAGGGTTTTGGAAAATCTGACATAAGTTACATCAGAAAACGATTTATTGCAAAGTCTTCCGAGTCCCTGGTGGCAACACTAGCAGCCACAACACGCTAAATAGCTAACGAGCTAATAAGCTAACTCCCCCGGCCAGTTTCTAGCGCAAACAGCTGTTTACAGCCACAACAAGCTAACACGCTAACAAGCTAACTCGTCGGCCAGTTGTGGGCAATTTGGTCAGCGGGCGGCTCGTTCTTTTTCGGGGACAATTAATTAATGTGTTTACTTGAAAAAGCAATACCGTGATATACCGGGACACCTCAGAATCTTTTTTAATACCGTGATATGGATTTCTGGCCATACCGTGCGGCCCTTTAAGGGTTCAGTACATTTAAAATGATTGCACACATGCCACAGTGTAGCCACACGCAGCGCAGCCTTCATCGCATGCTGCACTAGACAATCACGTCTTTCTTATGTCAATTACCCCCAAACAGGGGCCAAAATAACTCCTACCGTTCATACATTCATTCATTATCACATTGCAGCTGCAAGAAGCAAGCAGAGAAATTGTGCCACAGAAATGTGTTGTCTTCTATTGAAATTAATTTTAGTCTATTATATATATATATATATATATTCATACATATTTATACAAATTCAATCAGATCTTTTTAGATTTATACTTACTAGGAGACATCTGATGAAACTCCGGCATACAACCTCCCATCGGCCCTTTGAGATAATAAAAACACAGCGGGAGGGCAAGACATCTTAATAACTAAACCAAAAATACCTTGTTACAATTATTAACAAGAAGTTCAAATGAATCAAAATATCTCAAAAGTGTAGAAATGTGTGTAGAAATACACAGGTATGCGTTTAACTCCGATCCAGATTTGTTGTACTTTATCGTAGAACATTAAGACAGGTCTTTTGACCAAAGGCAGGCCCCATCACTTTGGGATGAAAAAAAGGAAATTGATGTAAATATATATACAAGGATGGATAATAAGGAAGGAACCCAAATTGTAAGATTTGGACATTCTCAAAGTGTTAACCACTTCTGGAGAAAGCAGAGTACAAAGAAAAGAGCAGCAACAGCGACACTGGTGCAGCTAGTGGATGGAACTTAATCATTAAATGCCTTTGGCACAACCTAATGTGGTAATTTACAAATATGATTTACTTTAATGTGCAGATACCAGCCGTTGTCTATCTTTGTATCTCTTGTCTGAATTACAGTCCATAGTCACGTAAAAATGTCTTTGAGCATTTTTGGTTTAATAACAAAATTCCCTGAAAGTGATTGTTTATATTTATCACCCAGTAAACCCTGTTATTGTGACACCAGTATGATGTGGTCCAGGAAAATAGTATTTACAGCCAGCACACTTTTCCTTGAGCCAACCAGACAGTGTCATCACGAGGCAGGTGACTTTATTCTTCCCTCACAGAGTAACTTTGAGCCGCCACCTCCATTACTATTGCCTTAAAAGAGATGACACTCTCATCTCATTAACATTATTAATTAATATTTATATGACTCTCTGAGGTTAAAAAGATTAAGAGAAAGTGGTCAGGACATTACAACGGTAACATAGCAGGGTTCCCGCGGGTCCTTAAAAAGTCTTAAATTTCACGTACCTCTCCAGGTTTGAGACTGAAGTGGAGCTGGGTCTGAGAGGGATGACCTGCCTGCCTGACACAGCCCTCTGACGCCTCCGAACTCTGAGGTTAAAAAGATTAAGAGAAAGTGGTCAGGACATCACAAAGGTAACATAGCAGGGTTCCCGCGGGTCCTTAAAAAGTCTTAAAATGTCTTCAATTTAAATTCAGCAAATTAAGGTCTTAAATTAGCTTAAATTTTCACGTAAAGTTGCTGTAGGTATTCATTTTTTTGCCGGTGCACTTAATGACGACGAGAAAGCACAGTGGCACATCGTAAAACATCTAATAGATGATTTAGTATTGTGCAAAATGAGTCTCCGCAATTGAATAGCTGTTCACGGTACGTCAGCTACAGACGCTGACGTCAGGCTGCGTGTCGCCATTACGCAGTTGGCGGTGTGAGGTTGAAAATGCAAAGAAGATGGGGAAGTACAAATCTAACGACAAGTGGATGGAAGAGGATGCATTTAGGAGGTGATTGGCGCCAATTGAAAACAACAATGAGGCAATGTGTAAACTATGCAAAAAGACCTTTTCATTAGGGACCACGGGGCTCAAAGCCGTCGAGCTTCGATACGTTGCAGCAGCTAGCCATAGCGGGGCCAGGTTAATCCCTGCATTGTTTGCAGCACGACGTTACAAGTTCAGACGCCACCTCTCAGTCGGCTGTAACAAGTGTGTGTTAAAAGAGTTTTGATTTCCATTGTAGGAGGGAATAAATTGCGTATTCCAAAGAAATTGTGACATTTTGGGGTCTTAAATTATATTTTTTGAGGTCTTAAAAAGCATTACATTTTTCTTTTGAAATGGTGCAAGAACCCAGGTAATCTGCCGGATTAAACATTTAAGACGATGCAGTTTTGTTTACATCCATTTAGTCTATTTATAGAAATACACTTACTAGGAGACATCTGAGGAAGCTGCGCCATATCACAAGACATCACAGGCACTATGAGATCATAAAAACACAGCGTGAGATGAAGACATGAGCCATGCTAAGAACCAAACCAAAAATATAGACATGATTACTGGATTGGGACATTATGTGACTACCAAGAAGTTCAAATAGTTTAAAATATCTCAAAAGTTTAGAATAGTGTGTAGAAATACACAAGTATGCGTTTCTCTACAATTCAGATTTGTTGAGGTTTACTCACATTAGGACAGGTTTTACTTACTTCTCATCGAACAGGACCCCATAGGAGCCATGCAGGCCATCATCCCTTTGAGATAAAAAAGAAAGAAATTGATGTTGAGATTTTGATTTCCATTATAGGAGGCAATAAATTGCGTATTCCAAAGAAATTGTGACATTTTGGGGTCTTAAATTATATTTTTTGAGGTCTTGTTAGGGATTTAAGCCAGAAGTGCACCCCTAGTCAGGAAATTATAGTACGTGTAATAATGTTTAGTGTTAGAATTATAGTTTGTGTGATGTTAGATATTAGTTATTACATTAACATGTTAGATGAAGTGAATGCAATTTCAATCAAACAGAATTCATAGTCATTTAAATCATATAAACACTGCACACATTAACATTCTGTTATAATGTGATGTTAAAACCTGGGGACGGATGCCAATTGCCGTTCTTTATGGATTTCTTCCAATTTTTCCCCAAAGAGGGTTTTTTGGAAGTTTTTTCTCCTGTCAGGTAATAAATGAACAAATTAATGTAAGGCAGCCGACTGAGGCAAATGTCTTGAGAATTGAACCACATGAACTGTTTTAGATCTTATGATGAAGTGTGATGAACGGTGATCATTAGTGATGGGTTGTTGTAATGAAAGTGTACTAGTTATAAGATGAAGACTTAAACGATGTATGCTTTGTTAAATTCACTCATTGAGGCATAAAGCCGAATGTATCTACATTGAGTGCATTGGAGTGTGAGGGACAGCTAGGACAGAGAGGTTTCAGGTTACAGCTGCAGCTTCACACCTCGACGTGGAAGGGACAATGGAGGAGGTGACCCTTTGGAGAAGAAGCCAACGACATTCAAATGCACCAAAGAAGACACACCTCAAGAGTTTTCAAAGGACCATGGCGGGGAAAAGACTGTTAGAACTTCTCCTGCAGCCGCGTTGATAAGTCACTTTAGACTTGCTCAGAGAATTCTCTATTTCGCGAAATATTCCACTGTTCGCTTAGTATTTCACTTTGTAATTGTAATCCCTATTACGTTGTTCAGTTATTAAATAACTTTTGATTTTTGAATTTAAACGAATTGACTCATTCGTGTCCTCGTTTCCGGCCGGGACGAGAACAAAGGATTGAGTCCTCCCTCGAGAGCTTCCGAAACCTTAACAGTTGGCGCCCAACGTGGGGCTCTCGTTGGGGGAAGGCGTTGCTGAGAGGTTTGACTGCAAGTACCACGGGTACAAACAAGGTAAAACAAACTTTTTCATGAATTCTGTGATAGGTAGGTTTAGGAAGATTTAGAGTGGTGCTGGCAGTCGGCCACGAGGCAAGGCCTTAGATGCTAAAGACTAAAGGCTAGTACATTAATGACTTGGGTGAATATAATAAGCTGATAGTGAATAACAGTGGGGACATACTTTTGCAAAGTGAATGCGAATGGGAGCCGGCTTTTAGAAATTCCAAACACGCGCGTTTGGTGCGTTCGGGTACACACTTAGAGCGTTAGAAAATCCAGTCATCGAACTGGTCTGCTGAGACATAAAGACCAGCAGGATAAAATCATACAAGTAGACCCGTATGGGATTGGTTAGGGGGTTCGCATGAGGTGTGACGATGCGCATGTTGTCCACTAGGTTTCCCACAATAATTACGGCGTCTTTAGGGAAGACTCTTCTCTTCATTTCCCCTCTCTGTGCATAAAGTCCTTCACAATTAGGTATTGCAGGATTTAATAGATTGGGGGGGGGAGCTTGCTCTACGGGATTGGCATACGGGGAAATCCAGCATCGACTGGTAAAATGATAATCCAGCATCGACTGGTAAAGTGATAATCCAGCATCAACTGGTAGTGATAATCCAGCGGCGACTGGTTAAGGTTATGGTTAAGGTGAAATCCAGCATCGACTGGTAAGATCTGCTTAACATTTTCCACTCTCTAGAAATCCTATGAATTAGGTAGATAGGTTATCTAGAAGGGGGTGGGTGGCAGATATGCGCTTTAGTGTAAATGATAGTGTATACATCTGCATGCTGGTGTGAGTGTGAGTGAGTGTTAGTACGTGGTGCGTGAGTGTTTGAGTTGCGGGGTGCATGTGCTTGATTGATGTATGGATGTTCCAAATTATGTTTTACTATGTGTATGTGATTGTTTAACAGTGTATATATATGTATAGAATCCGAACTGGAGACTGATCATCTCCGGCGTCGGGTTGTAAAACCGTAGCATATTAAGGTGTTGGTGAGTAGTCCAACCCGGACCACGTGGGCTGCCTTGCTAGCGGCTAACGGGGTCTCATTGGTAATTCCACTGGGGAAATAGCGGGGCTTGCGGGGTGCTGATAGCTTGACCACGTTGTGGGTTAGCAGTTAGCTTGAGCCCATTGTTCTTTGCTACGCCGGCACACAGCGTTTTACGATCCATGTGCTGAGGTGTGAGGCACTTCCTCTTTGGTAGTTCTGTGTTCGATCTTCAGCTATCGGCTGAACAGCGCCACATGTGGTTGGAGTAAGTGCACATCGTGAGGGGAAGCCCCTGAGTGTGCCATCTGGTGGATGTAGAGGGAATTACAAGAGGGGGAGTTCAATTTCTTCACTTGCTCCGTGTTCGGACGTTGACTTTGATGCACATTTGCCTTTACTAACTAGGATAGTGTAAAGATTGATAAGACAACTTGACGGATATCTGGATTGGTGTTGACGTTTATTTGAAACATTAAAGTGCTGTAATGTCACGTTGAATTTGGTTTGTACTATAGTTCTGCATCGATTTTGGATTGGAATTGGAGGTTGATTTAATTTTGATGTGGTGCTTTTGAGAAGCTGTTATGAATTGTTTGATTTCGATCTCCAATGTTTAGCTGAAACCGGATTGACTGTCATTGCATTGTCTCTGGGTTGGGGGTGGATCATTGTTTATATTGTGGTATAATCTCTGGCGGCATTTGTGGGGGAGTGCTTCTGCTATACTTCCTGATTAATATTGCCGGCAGTTTGACTGTATCATCATAACTTTGATTAGTTTTGTAACCTTGATTAATAATTTGGAGTAATTCATTTTTAGACATCAAGATTAACTTTATTGAAGTTTAATTTTTAGACTTTTGAATTTTGAATGAAGATTGAGTTTTGATTTGAGATATAGTTAATTCTTTCTCTTTTTCCTCTGTTTAATTGTAATCATAGTCTTTGGCGTGGATCATTGATTATACTAATTTTTACAGTTCCGTGATTGATTTGAATTTTTGGTTAGAGGTACTGATAAGTTGATTTAACTTAGTGGTCTAACAAGATAGTTTTGTAATTACACAGCAGTTATTGGACTGATTTGATGTTGTAAATTGCCCTCCTTACTTTTTAGATTTGGTTATTTGTTTTACTGTATCGATTCTGGTCGATGGTTCGATTTGACATTTCCTCGGACAGCTGTTGGAGGTGACTTGGTTTGGTTTTTCCTGCTGTTAGTGACAGAGTAACACCTGGGACAGAAGGGACAGCATAGCGGTTGTTTAGAGTATTCCAGGTTGCATGATGGCTGCGCTTACGACTCAGGAACTGCTTGGCAGGGCCAGAGAGGAGGAAGCAGGTAGCTGTGAACATGGCCGTAAAACACCAAGTGAATACCAGGAGGCCGCAGAGGAGCTGTATATTACTTCAGGACTCCTGTCTATCAAAATACACGTGCAGAGGACCCATCCAAACAACGACAAAGACGGAGAGGTTGCTGATGGAGGACGTCATCACAATAGACATTGTATCCTGGTGAAGAAGGCTCCAAACCACTATGCAGACTATATTCTCCCTATAAGAAATGAGCCACCTGCAGCCTCCCCTGTCCCACAGTGCCCACTACTGAGAAAAGCCAACGGTCAGAGCGAGTTTGTGCCCTGGAGTCATCGGGACATGGAAGCGCTGGAGAAGGGACTGCCGCCATTGGGAGAAGGAGCTAACCCATGGATCCGGCTCTTTGAAAAATACACAATAGGTGATAAGTTGGCACTTGGAGATATGAGAGCCTTAATAGCCCGTCTAGAGGGAACAGTCAACCTAAGAGCCTTAGAAGCAAGAGCGGGAACCACCAACCAAGAGGATGAGGCTCCATTTGATAAGGTCAGAGGAGTATTTTGGGCCACAATGCGAAACATCTGGCCTACAAAGCCAAGTATGTCCATCCTGATGGGTCTGAGTATGGAACAAGGTGAAGACATGTCTCAATATGTGAGGAGAGCAGAAACAGAATGGCATTTGACCACAGGAGAAAGACACGACAATAACAAATCTACTGCAGTAATCTGGCGACACACTGTGCAGCAAGGCTTGCCCCAGGCTGTTCAAACAGCGTTGGAGGGAGTAGTGGGACTGGACGACATGGATGAAAGCACATGGAGAGACCATCTAACCCACTTCTACAAAATACAGAGAGCTGCGGAGACAAGGAGGCAAGAAGAACTGGGGACGATGACGCATCGACTCCTGAAGATCCAACTGGCAGCAGCAGATGCAGAAGCAACGAAAAAACAGAGAGTCAGGAAACAACTGTCGGTGAGAGATGAACAACCTCAATACCCTGTTCCTCCAGAAGCCACATATCCAACCGTAGGTCCAGCAGTGAGAAACCAATTGAGAGGATACCAGCGACCACCAAAGTACAGAGGGAGAGACAGAGGCCGTGAATATAACCGAGGGAGTGGATACTACCAAGGAGGGTATGGGGTTGATGTGTGTTTTATATGTGGGCAGGGGGGACATTGGGGCATCAAAGGTCCAGTGAAATATGAAGGGAACACACGGTCAAATGCTCCTCCAGGAAGGTTTCCCAACTCACTGCAGCCCAGGCAGAACCAGAGGTTGGGCACACCCCAGCCTCCACCTCCCCATATGTGGTGACCACAGCAACAGATGCCACTTGCTTTGATGGAGACAAAGCAGACGAGCCCTAAACAACTAACTGGTGACACACCGACCCCCGCTGCTTTCCAACAGCTCAGATAAGCACCCTCAGTCTCTACGGTTTACGACTCACATTACAGGTAGAGACTAGAGATTATGCACTGCTGAGAGTGTCAGCTGAAACTAGACTTAAACC